AGAGGCCCGCATAACGCAAGAAAAAAAAAAGAAAAAAAGTAAGTACATTTGGGAATAAAACAGGGAAGAGTATTGGCTTATGTTTCTTCTTACATTTAATTTAGGTAATTGAGAAAATGGGTTCTGTGTTTTAAAAACATTTCTATCATGGTATCGACATTTAAATGTTTCCAAGATTAATAGATTTACTAAAAACCTTTAGGGAATTTGTGAATTCATGATCCTATTTAAAATTAGTTTTTAAGAATGGCCCTGTGGGTAGGTAAGGCTTTTGCCACTGTTGATCTGTCCTCCCACAATGACCTTTGCTGACTTTCCATCCAGCTTCACACTTGGTTTTCAAGGGTCTGTTCCTCCAGGAGGCCTGCCATGTCTTCTCAGCTAACGTCTCCCATGGACGTGATCCCTGGCACTCAGGGTTTGCATTTTTCACTTTCTCCTGCCTCTTGAGTCTTGTACTGATGCAAAACAGCTTTTCGAGCATTTGTATTTTGAGGCTGAAAGCACTATAAAGTGCCAGAGAAAAAAGACAAAATACTGGAACTAAGACTGGCTCTGATTCTTGTTGAATTTCAGGGCTATTTTGTAAACAGTCCTGCTGCTTATTGAAGATAGAAAGCCAAAACATTTCAGCATTTTAAAACATTTAAAAATTGCTGGTGAGTACCCAGAGGAGAGAGAAAAATTAGAGATGTGTTTTATCAGTCCCTTAATTATCCTCTCTTTAAATATTCACAAGAGCAAATATACCCGAAGCTGCAGATGTGTTTTGAGTTACGTGGTTCTTTTTATACTGAGTAAACTATGTTTTAAAGTTTAAGCTTCTTAAAAAGCTCCCTTGCAATTTTCCTTGTGCTTGAGTAGATCGTGTCTGTCAAACTGCTCATGTAGTGACTGAATCTTACCATTTGATTGGATTATATCATAATTTAAAACACAGTGAAGGCCATGTTCCTTTACAAATGAATTAAATTAGAGGAGAACAAAATAAAAAGTAAAGATTGTCAGTTGAAATGATTATAAGATTAAAAGGTTGAGTCTTGGGGAAACTAAGATATCTTATTAAATAGAGCAGCGCTTCTCAACCCTGGATACAACCTAGATAGAATCACTTAGGGAACATGGAAACAGCAGCAGCAGCAAATACTGTTGGCTGGACCTCTTCCCCAGAGATTCTGATTTAGTTGGGGCCCAGGTATCAATTGATTTTTTAAAGCTCCCCAAGTGATTCTCATGTGCAGCCAGGTTTGAAATAGATGAAAATCCAAGCTATTTAAAGAAAGCATTTCTCGGTAGACAAAACGTACTGACTACGTAGGTATTTGACAAGAAGATACAAGAGAAAAAGATGGAGAGAAACTTTTAGTGTAAAGTTAATAGAGGTTTACAATCCATTATTGACAGCTCTGAAATATAAAAGCCCTGAAAAAGAATAGGGTTTCATAACTTACTTGGTGGCAAAAATCTAACCTAAACTGAATATATTTAGTAGAAAATCCTGAGGCCTTTCCTAGTCTGTCTTTATCCCATTTGGTATGAATAATCATACATTTCATTGCAGAAAATTTTTTTTGGCGGGGGGTGAAATAGAAAAGGATAGCTTTATTACTTTGCCAGGCAAAGGGGGCAACAGTGGGCTCCTGCCTTTAATGTGTCCCCGCAGAAATATTAATGTGTCTGATTTCTTACTATAAGTTACTGCCCAAGACCTCACTGGGGGTGTGCCCTAGATAGGGCACTATCTGAAATGTTGAATTCTGGAATACATCTAGCCTCAAGGGTTCAGATCATAGTAGGGAAGGCTTGTAATAGGGAAGACCAGTGCAATAATGTACTTCCTGTCAGATTAAGAACAATGCATTTCTTCTAATTTCCTAGGCAGTGGTTTAGCACCCGCATTAAATAAAAACAATGGCGAATGTCAGAACATGGCTCTTGGCTCTATATGTATACATTTCTTTTTTTGAAACTGATCTGAGGAGAGGGTTCCATTTCTGTCACGTTGAGAGAAACTTATGTTAACCAACAACACAAGTAGCTCAAGTCGAAAAAATAATCATCTCTAAAAGACTTTTCAGTGTAACAAACTACCGCCAAATTTAATGGTTTAAAGCAACACATATTTATTATCTTAACCAGTTCCTGAACATTAGGAATTCAGGAGCATCTTAGCAGGATGGTTTTTGCTCTGGGTTGTTATCAAAATGTAGGCCAGAATTTCAGACACCTGAAGACTTGACCAGTGCTGGAGTATTATATTTCTTTTTCGGTGCCAACAGGTCCCTTATTAGAGCTTAATGAAAATTCTAGTCCCTGTTTCTGCAGTTGTTCAAAGGTTTAGTTTTCAGTATAAACCTAACAGTTATTTGCTAAAGGAGGCTTTGAGTCCTTCTAATATGTTCTGAAGATATCTGCTGCGAGTCCCTTCTTACTGGGGAGTGCCTTCCCTTTGGATTTCCTTGTCCTTCCTCAGGCAGTTTTTTCTCTCCCCTAGGTTCTGTCTCTGTTCTCTTAAGGTTACCTCTGCACCCGCCTCCTGTGGGTCGGTGAATGGGTGTTGATGGCCCTGGATAGTGTGATGAAAAGATGGCTACCTTGGAGGAGCTTCTGCCCAGAAGACAGGCATTAATCACAATTGAAAATGATGAATTACGTCATTGCTGGTGTGTTTAAAAAAAGAAAAGTGCCAGGACGAAGCTCTAGGAGCCTCTAATGGGATCTTACCCAGTTTGTGTTTTGCTTGATCTGTTCTTCCCGCTTTGTGGTTTGGAGGAAGAATAACCTACCCTTGGGGTTTTGGTCAGGAACAGTTTCCCTCGGGGGCAGAAACATAACACTTTTATGTCTTTCCTGACTGCAGATGTTCAGGGGATGTAGTGTAGTACAGTAGAGTAATCTCATTTACTTTATGTGGAAAAATACAAAAAAAGAAAAAGCTTAGGTTCCTTGTAACTTTAACTGTGAAGTTCTTGTCTTTCTCACTGCTCATCTCTCATCTTCTTGGCTTCCCCAAAAGTGCTATGTTGGTTTCTTTCTCATCCCCGTTCTCCCTTTCTTTCTGTACCAAATCTTTGAAAAGATGTAGTTTTATACAGTTTGGGGAATATAACAGTTTCCTTTCCTGAGCTATTTCTGTTTTGAGCCTTATTTCTCATTTGAGAAAGAAAAATCGAAGCTCTCATGACGAGAATATCAAGTATGGAAAACTGACGGAGGGTGGAGAGGACGGTTTTTGATCCTCCGTATGCAAATTAAGTGATCCACCGTCTGCATCCTTTTCCATCTCTGCTTTTTTCCTGTCTCTGAGCCACAGTGGCGTCTTCCCTAGAAGCTCATAAAATCAGGAAGCCATCCACAAGGTCCCAGTGAGTGTTTCTAATCTGCATCTTTGTCTACCCCCAAACGTTTGTGACACTGTAACAGAGGAAAATTCTGAAGAGAGGTGCTGTCAGTACGATAAACCTTACACGTAATTTCAAATATATAAAATAGGCACTAATTTATATTTTTATTTTGTTGCTGTTTTATTACTGCACATACGAGTATTTATAAAGGCTTTCGTCTGATTAATCATCACTCCTGTCTCCCCCAGCTCTCTTTTCCCCCATAAGTTCTTCAACTATAAATTCTTCTACCCATGAGTGTTTTTGGGTCTCAGACTCCCACGGTTAGAAAGGGATGGATTATCTTCTGATTACAATATAATTTTCCCGAGAAAGTCTTAAGGAATCGACGAATCAGTTAAATCAGGAGTATATATACCCTTTTGAATGGCACTCATACTAGCCAGCCAGGGAAAGCATGGCAGTAAAGCAGTATCGGGGCGGGAGGTGGGGGCGAAGCTGGCTTCTTCAGGGATGATGATACCCTGGCCATTGTGAAATTGGTCCTAAACAGAGTCCCAGTGACTCACTGGGCTACTTTTGCCTTCACGTACATCAATGTAAATTAGATGGATTTCAATAGCACATCTTCTTTAACCTTGAGCTTTCATGCTCTGCCTTTAAAAATGTCATTAGTATAATAAGCTGCAGGACCCTTCCAAACTCAGTATCACCACCCCTGCGCGCGCGCACACACACACACACACACACACACACACACACACACACACACACACACACACACACACACCACTCACACTCTTCTAAGCTTAAAAGATTGTGTCCTGAAGAGGAATGAGCTTGCTTATTATGAAAATTTATTGCTATCAAACATAGATTTCCCAAAGATTATCCCCGTGTTATCTTTTTTTTCCCCATGTTATCTTTGAAAGTGACTGTGGTTATCTTTTTTGGCCTCTGTTTTATGTTACTCTTTGAGAATGTTGTTGAGAAAGGATTTAAGCATATGTGTTGGGGTGGGGGGAGAGAGAGAGAGAGTGAGGAAGCAAAAATCTGGACAAATAAGTGAGGTTTAAGGCACTTAGGGTATTAAAGGTCATCTTGCCTATCCCCATTTCACCTGCCCTGTGTGTTGATAGCACTTGCTTTTATGCAGCATAATATCTGAAATGGTTGCTGTACACCTGTGAGGCCTCAAGTGATCCTTCACTGTATTCACACAGAGTTCAAATTAAACTAGGATCACCTACCTCAATTTTTCTAGAATTTCTCTATAAACTAGAATCTTTGAGAGATAAAGAATATTTAATATCTTTGCCACAGTATTTTGCCTGTTTTAATAATTTATTTGCATTATTTCTGAATGTTACACAGTTATGTTTTTGAGGTACTTCTCATCATCATGGCATAAGTACGAATGTTTTCCAATGTGTACATTCTGGCAACTGTTTAATTTCTCTTTAAAGTAAGTCCATCAGATTCTATGAGGATGGGCCTAAAATTCCTATGCAGAGGTTTTTCCATATTATTAAAAACAAATAAACAAAAACATGGCAGCAAACTTAATGCAACAGCTCTTAACTTTGGTTGCATATCTAAAAACAAAGCTACGTTTTTCTTATTCTAATTTGGTTTTTCCCCCTAATATTTTATTAGGTGCAGAGAGAGCTAGCAGCTGTTATTGCTTTGAAAGCAAGGAAGTCTGGTGAGTAGTCTTTCATGGGGCTGGAGGAAGGTTCTGATTCTTTGGGGATATTTCACACGTCCTGTGGTTGTGAGCAGTTGAATGTATCTCAGGAAGCTTTGGTATAAAACGCAGAAAAGTATCTCCATTATGTTTTAAAAATTATTTATTCTACCATCAAAATAGCACAGGTGTATATCTAGTTCTATAAAGCTAGATATACACTGCCTTGCTTTATTTCATACTTCAAGGAAAAGTGAAATTAAAAATTAAAAATATGTTTGTAGTCCACTGCAAGCATGGAAAAAGTCTAGGTACCCAGCAAAAGAAAGCAAACCACATTGCATTATCTATCATAATGGCAGAGGAAACTAAATAACATAATGGTGGTCTCTTTTTAATATTTTTCATCTCAAAGTAGATTCTTATAAAAATAATTGAATTGTCTCATAACATTTAATAGCAAGCATTTTCCATAGGGACTGATTGTGTGGATCTGATTCCTAATACCTTAGGAAACAATCTGTGGATGTAATAAGTGGAAAGGAAGAGGGAGCTTTCAGATACGTCTTGAGGAGAGAAAGCCAGGCTCTGCTGAAATTCGATATGAAATAGAGACTCAATGAGGTAGAAAAAACTTGCTTTGAAGGAGTGTCAGGAGGAGGCATCCTTTGCTGTTCAGAGGCAGGAGGTCGCTGCTAAACTCTTATTCTAGTTTAACATTAATGTTCAACTAGAATAAGACTTAGATAATGTGAAACTAGGTGTTAAACTAGAGTAAGACTTTTGAGGTGAGGACACTGACAAAATCAAAGAGTTGCCAGAGTTTGAAGAAATAAGTGGAACAGAAATGTCTTTAGAACAGAAATCATACATTTTACATCTTCCTTTTTGTAGCTAGAAAGTGTAAGCATTTACTTTTCTCTCAGTGACCTCTGGAATCAAACGCACCTTAGTATGAAGTAGCTTCTTGTGTTTATACTATATCTTTGCTGATTTGGCTGATGTAGAGGAAGAAGAGACTGGATGCTGTAAGGGTGGTGGAGAAGAGACGCAAGGAACAGTAATCTGGTCCCACAGAGCTCGGGCAGTGTGAAAAGGGCTCCTCCAAGGACAGGGATTAGATCATGGGTATCTGCACAGGTGGAGGCCAAGATGGAGAAAGGACACCAGTATAAAGGTTGTAGGAGGGAAGTCTTAAAAATAACTTGTGCTAGAGCTGATGGTGGTTCCTATAAACATAAGGAGATAAAACTTACAGTCTGTGTGAGTTGGGATGACAGTGCCTTGGAGGATAGGGGTTAAAAATTTTTTTTCTTAAGTTTCAGAAAAAGTCGGGGAAATAATCAAAAACATATACTCTTGGGCTTCCCTGGTGGTGCAGTGGTTGAGAGTCCGCCTGCCGATACAGGGGACACGGGTTCGTGCCCTGGTCCGGGAAGATCCGACATGCCGCGGAGCGGCTGGGCCCGTGAGCCATGGCCGCTGAGCCTGCGCGTCCGGAGCCTGTGCTCCGCAACGGGAGAGGCCACAACAGTGAGAGGCCCGCGTACCGCAAAAAAAATAAAAATAAAATTAAAAAATGTACTATTGTCATTGCTGGAGAAAAACAGAGCAAGTAAATACAGATGGGGCTGGAGAAGGGGGTTGCTAATTTACACAGCGTGGGATGGGAAGGCCCCCAATAGGGCACATTTGAGCAAAGACGTGAAGTCACTGAAGGGTGAGCCTTGTGGGCATCCAGACAAGAGCCCTGGGCAGCGGTGTGTGAAATGAGTTGAAGGAACAGCAAGGATGTGAGAGTGGCTGCAGCCAAGTGAATGAGGCAGAAAGAGGCAGGTTTCGGGTGTCAGGCTAAGAAGTTTGAACTTTCTGGAGGTGAAGAGAAATGAAGAGGAGTAAGCAAGACCCACACACAGTAGCTTGTGCAAAGTAAAAGACTGGTATGAAGTTGACTTTATTACGCCATGATGTTAACATGTCTGTTGTCCTTACTCATTTCATCTGTGGAGCTTGGAATGTGAATACAGCATTGGCAACCTCTCAGGGACAGAGTGAAACACGAATGCACCAAGGATGGGGACATAAATTCATAGTTTTTCAGAAAAGCCACTTTTCAGTGCATTCTAGTGTAGTTACTCTTTAAGCCAGTAACTCCATGATTGGAGGTGTAGCTTTGGGCGTAATCAGAGATGCATGTGAAGATTCAGGTAGAAGAAACCTATTTCATTGCTTATTTTAACAGTAAGAAATTAGAAACAATCCTTAAGTTCCCATAATAGAGAAATGGTAAAATTGATCAATGAAATGGAATGTTAAATAGTTTTTTAAATGACATTTCAAAGACTTAATACAGTAAAATGTTCAGTGGAAAAAAGTGTGTGCAATGACCCTGTATTACTTGTCTTTTTCATAATGAAAATAGCTTCATTTTTTTCTTATTAGTGTAGCATACTCATTGAAAAACTTTGGTAACACATGAATGTATGAAGAAGAAATTGAAAAATCACCCATCATCTCACCAACAGAGATAACCAATAATACTCTTTTCTGTATGTATTTACAGATACTTCTCTATTAATATGTAGATATTTTATATATAATATATGCAGTTTTATAAAAGTGATAATTTTTTACATGTGCTCTTCTATTTTGTGATAATTGTATATTCACGTGCAGTTGTAATAAATAATAAGGGGTGACACGTTCCCTTTACCCAGCTCCCCGCAATGGTAACATCCTGTGAAACTCAAGTACAGTGTCACAGTCAGGATATTGACATTGGTACAAAACATTTACATCACTGTAAGGATCTTCCATGTTTGTCTTTTATAGCTACACCTCTGTTTCCTCTTTAACCTCTGCAATTACCAATCTGTTCTCTATTTCTATAATTTTGTCAACTCAAAAATATTAGATAAATGGAATCATGCAGTATGTAACCCTGTAGGAGTGGCTCTTTTCACTTGCCATAGTTCTCTGGAGATTTATTCAGGTTGTTGTGTGTATCAATGGTTATTCCTTTTTATAACTGAATAGTATTCCATCATATGAATGTGCTACACTATATATAACCATTTACCCATGAAGGGCATTGGTGTTGTTTCCAGTTTGGGTCATTATGAATAAAACTACACGTGTAAGTTGTTGTGTGAATGTAAGTCTTTATTTCTCTGGACTAAATGCCCAGGAGTACAATTGCTGGATTGTTTGCTAATTGCATGTTTTGTTTTTTAAGAAACTGCCAAATGGTTTTCCAGAGTGGCTGTACCATTTTGCATTCTCACTAGCAATGTATATGTGATGTAGGTTCTTGCATCCTTGCCAGCATTTGATGTTGTCACTATTTTTAAAAATTTTAACCATTCTAATAGGTGTGTAGTGACATCTCACTGTAGTTTTAGTATGCATTGCCCTAATGGCTAGTAATATTGAACATCTTTTCATGTGTTTATTTGCTGTCCGAATGTCTTCTTTGTGAAATGTCTCTTCATGTCTTTTGCCCGTTTTCTAATTGGGTTGTTTGAGGGGTTTTTTTTTTTACTGTTGAGATTTGAGATTTCTTTATTCTAGATAGCAATCCTTAGGCAAGTATTTTCTCCCAGTCTATAGCCTGTCTTTTCATTTTCTTATCAAAGTCTTTCACAGAGCAAAAGTTTCTAATTTTGGTGAATTCCAATTCGTAATATTTTTTAATGGATCATGTCTTTGGGTTAAGTCTTTGTCTAGTCCCAGATGCGAAAGATTTTCTCCTGGGTCTTTTTCTTCCTTAAAAGTTTTTATAGTTTTATGTTTTATATTTGAGTTCATGTTCCATTTTGAGTTAGTCTTTATATAAGATGTGAGACTTATGTCAAGATTCTTCTGTGTTTGTTTTGGCTTATGAATGTCTAATTTTTCTAGCACCATTTATTGAAATGGTGCTTTTCTTCCATTGAATTGCTTTTGCACCTTTGTCAAAAATATGTTAGGCATATTTTTGTGGGTGTATTTCTGGATTCTCTGTTCTGTTCCACTGAACAGACTCCATTGGTATCCATCAGTACTAGCCTTGATTACTTTATCTGTAAATCCACTTTTTATAGGATTCATTTTCATGCACTAATACAGCTCTGTATCATTTTTGTTAGCTGTTGTATGTTTATATTGATGCCATACAACTTATTAACTAATTCTTTGTTGTATGTTTAAGTTTTTGATAGTTTTCCCATTATGAATGATAATAGAAGGGCTCGAAGATACATTCTTTTTTTTTTTTTTTTTGGGTATGCGGGCCTCTCAAAGCCAGTTTACATTTTACGTCTCCTGCACACCCCCATTTGGACAACCACACT